GTCTGTTCACCTGGGCATTTTTGGTCTTTTCCTTTTACAATGTAAAAAAATCCCCTTAATTCACCGTGGGGCTAAAGATATGACTTTCCGGACCCTGAGAGCAGAATTAATTTGGTTTGAGTCGGAATGGTGATGATGACAAAGGATGGAGGTGCAAAGGAGTGGGCAGAGGTTGCTTCCACGCTGGGAAGTAGAGAGACAGGGAAAAACGTTTTATCTGCAGAGCATCTTCAGGGGTCCAAATGCACACCTGGTAGAGGCTCTACCGCCGAAATGTTTCTCTTCCTTTAGACTTTCCAGCCTGTAGTTACCCTCTGCCTGTTCCAGAGCTACACTGTGACTGACTGCTGCTGTTCTGTCTGTGTCCAGGAGACCATTGAGAAGAACTCACTGGAGCACCAGGAGCAGATTCAGAAGCTCAAGTCAGAGGAGGCCGCACATCTGCAGGTCTGTCTGCGCAGTGAGAGGACAGAAGAGGCCAAAAGCCTCAAAGTGTCTGGAATCGTGGAGTGAAAATTAAAAAAAAAAATAATTTGGGACTGATAATACTGTAGCGCTTTCAGGTTCATGTGGGTATGTGCCCTTGCTGCTCCCACCTCAGGTCGGCTCCCCACTGCTGGGGCTCGAACCCGGGCTTCCAGTGTCACTCAACAGGGACCCAGCTGGCTGAGCTAAGGGAGATCACGAGATCTCATACCTTCAACAGATGTTGGCAAAAAATACTTGATAAAAATATATTTCCTGATCCCTTCTAAAACATCAGCATAAGATAAATACACATCAACCCATGAGGGTAAATTGGACATGGCTCAACAGTCAGGCTGAAACAGAGCCTTGAATTAATGTAAAATGTATAAAATGGAACATAACGTCTTGGCTCTATTTTAAAAAATATCAGTCTAAGCAGTTCTTGCATCAAAGCCCACCTCGTGTGGTGTTGAACTGTTTTCCTTACTCTCGGCATCCTTGCCATGTGTATGTCAAGACGCTCCGCTACTGGTAGAAACACGTTACAGGTATACTCTCCCTCGGCCTCGGGTCCCACTCAAGATCATCCCACAGCAGCTTGATGTTTAGATGATACAGCAGGTCAGCGCCTGGGGGAGTCAGTGTTTTAAAACTGCCTCAGGTCTCTTGTCATGTTGTGTGTTTTGGGGGTTTTGAAGTCGATGAAGGAATCGGTTGAATTAATATTCACCTGCAGTAAAAAGAAGGGGGATGCACTCATTTTCTCTGCCTCATTCACAGGCTGGGGATGCTACAATAGACAGAGCACGATTCGTACGTGTGAGTTGGAATGGAATTATGACCACGTAATGGGGCATTGATATGTGACATATTGAGGCATCAACCTGAAGTTATATTTACTTCATCTTAAAAGATGTTTTTTAAACCTTTAAACAGCTGGTGTTTGATGCCATAAAAAACAAGTTGTTCCTTCTTTTAGAGTGCCTGCTGATTTGTTTAATGGAGCAAGTACAAAGATGTGCCATAGAAAATAATATTCTGCTGAAAATAAGGAGAAACTGCGGACAATTATTTGTTATTAAATAAACGTGCTCCCTGGCAGGAGAAGGACGCAGAGATCCAGGGCGTGAAGCTGCAGCTGCTGGAGGTGGAGAAGGAGAGAGATGAGCACGTCTCCTCCATCACCAAGCTGAAGCAGGTAGGGAGGGGCGAGAGCGTCGCAGGATTCAGGGGACACCGGCCTTGTGCTGTCCCAGGCGCGCGTGTGCATGACATTGGGGTGCTCCTGTGGAATCTGGAATGTGCCCATCTCGAACCCGCGCCCGTGGGTAATATCGGGGCCATCCTGCGGGAATTCCACATGTCGGTCTCGAACCCACGCCAGTGGATGATATCGGGGCGATCCTGTACGACTTCCACGTGCCCAGCTCGAACCCACGCCTGTGGGATAATTCTTTGGGAATCCCACTGCCCGTCTTGAACTCGCTCCAGCCAGGGCTGGACCTGGTCCCTGATGCTGCCTGTGAAGTTGGCTGTACGTGTGCTGTAATCATTAGCAAGCAGGACCGGTATCTTTCACTAATTGCCTCAGCTCAGAGCTCAAGTGCTGCAGCTGTTCGATGCCTCAGAGGAACGTTCCAGCTTATTGGACGCCTGTGACTAGTTATTTGTTCTCACAGGTTCGTTCTCGCTGTCTCTTTTAATTAAGCTGTGCCTTCCCTTTTCAGATGTGCAGTTCAATCCGTCAGTCATTTCCTTGTTCGTCCTGCGTTCAGTCTTTTCCAGGCACAGAGAGTCTGGATAACAGAAGAGCCTCTCCTCACCTAGAGGACGTTTCATTCAATGGGTTTTTTGTCTTGAAGTTATAAGCGGCGTCAGTTAAAGAATGGAAGTGGTCTCTGTTGTCTGTTGTAGTCCTGATTTAGGAACGACCTCAAACATCTGTTTCAGGCGGGATTGAAAACTCTGCACAGGCCTGGCCGGAGAATACCAGAGTGTGCGCTGAAACAGGCCTACGACTTCCTACAGCTTCCTTTTTATCCTGCAGCTTCCTGTTTGTCCCTTGAATTCAAACGAAGTCCAGGATTTGCAAACTCCACTTTCAATTACTTAATTGACTCAATTTTTTAGTTCGAAGAGCCCGTTTTGGTGAGATCTTAGATGTGATTTTCCACTTGGTTGAAGACGGCTATCCAGGCTGAGGCTCGGGGGGGCTGTCCCGGCCTCTGCTTTTCCGTTTCCAACTTGCTGGGCGATGTGGCCCTTCAGACACGCCACTCGGCAGGTCACAGGTCACAGGTCACGCTGTCTTCGTCTCTTGTAGGAAATCAAGGACACAGTGGATGGCCAGCGGATCCTGGAGAAGAAGGGGAGCTCAGCGGTGAGTCTGGCACCAGAAACAGTCCATCTTGACCAGTAGGAGAAAACCTGCTCTCGTCAGTGGTGTTCCCAGTGGTATCCCAGAAGCCCCTGGGCACGATGTGAACCCTGCATCTCCCACAGAGACTCGGCCCCTGTCTGAGTTCAGTGGTTGATAAATAGCGCTCGTTTTACAACAACAGATCTCTCTTTAAAATGCAACCGACAGCATTGCGTCTTCACTAAATCAGCAAAACTTTCTAATTGCCCTTCGGGATTTAGAATGCTGTTTTTGTCATTATTAACCTTAATTATTTAAGATGTCAGAGCTGTGGTTATTATGCATTACGTACTTTTCACTCCTGTCTGACGTGCCGTTCAACATCTGGAGAAAGTTATTGTGCAGCGATGGGTGTGTGTATCGGTTAGGAAAGTGAAGGTGCTGAAATGTGATCGCCGGGCTCTGGGATCTGGGATCAGCTTGAGGGGCTGATGAGGCAGAACTCTGTGGCTGAGATGCTCTGGGTCGATACTGGGAATAGCAGAATATTCGTGGCTCAGAAGTGGAGGGAGCCCAAAGGCAAATGTAGAGAAACGTCACACAATTTTTTCCAGAAATGCCGGAGGAGCAAAACACAAAGATTTGGTTGTGCATTAACATTCAATTTAGCAGTTTCCTATGTTATAACTTTTTCAAACCTTCCCTTTAGTTTTGATTTTAAAAAAGCAGAGCACTTAAACATCATTAACTTATCAGCTGGTGAGCTTCTGTCACATGGTTTTGTCTGGTTGTCGTGGCCTCAGCCCACAGGAGCAGGGGAGAGGGCCTGGCCTTGCGCAGGTTCCCTTCTGTTCCTTCAGTGTTTCTCTCTCCTTTCGCCCCAGCTGAAGGACCTGAAGAGGCAGCTGCACCTGGAGAGGAAGAGAGCAGACAAGCTGCAGGAGAGGCTGCAGGAGATCCTGACCAACACCAAGACCAGGACAGGTGTGTGAGGAGGGCTCCTGTCTCTCGAGAGCTGTTCCCTGTTTTTCATCTACAAAGGCGTGCAATACGTAGGACTTTACTGGGGGATCGAATTGGCACACGGATGATTGATAGGCTTGAGCTGATGTGCGTCTGTGGACAGGCATGTCTGCAGTTTATATAGAGAAGAGTGAAGAGTAAAGAGGGTATCCTCTCAAAGCTTTATTTCTAGAGTGAAACACCGATTAGTAATTATTCCTAACTGCAGTTCAGAATGTATTATGTCATTATATAATAATCCTATAACCTCAAGAAAATCTATAGCGCCACTCTGCCTATCTAGACGGGTCCTCTCACGTGCTCTCCCGGAGTGAATGCAAAGAGCTCTGGCGCACTGTAATCTCTGTTCCTTCATCCTTGACTGTTAAATACTGCGGAACTCCCTTTAGCTGGGAGGCAGGTCTGTATAAGTCAACTAATTATTGGTGCTGTGCTGAGTTAGACAAAACATTGTAAAACATGGTTTACAGTTGAACTCTGAAAGATCCCAAAATGTCATCTTGTCATGCAAAAAAGCAGCATTAATTTTGTTGTGGCTATTTTTAAACTGGCGTATAGTACAGAAATGCAGGTTCAGTGGTTGAGCACTCTGTTCACTCTATGTATAAATAATTGCTGTACTTAATATTTTTAAGATGATGATGAAGTGCTGAGGCATCATCAAATTCATGATGCCGCTCAACTCTCTCTCTCTGCTGATTGAAGCCTGTGCGTATTGAGACATTTAACATCTCTGATCCAGCACTCCTGATGGGTGAAGAGGGGTGTGTTGATTTTAGTTTTCCAGCAGTTTTCCCCCTTTGCCTGTCAGTAATGGCGGAAATTATACTTGAAAACGCATTTCAGGTTGTCATGTTTAATTAAGAATTGCAGCTTAACAGTGCCTATTACACCTTCAAAGTTTTGCATTTCCGAACATCCATTAGCATGTCTAGAGTGGCTGAGAGCAGAAGAAAACCTTTCCAATCGACTTTATCCGGAAGGAGATGAATGTTATCGACCCGGCCATTGACTTCAATGAAGAAGGAGCCTGCGCTTTGCGTGGCGTGATGCATGGCTGAATGAAAGTCTTTATATAGCACTTTACAAAGTGGCTGGGATTTACAGGCTGAGAAAAATGAAGATAGATTGGGAGTGGGGGCGAGCCGGAGGAATCTTGAGCCTCTCGTGTCTCCAGAAGGATGAAAGCCGGGCAGGTGCGACGCTGTGCTGAACGCCCTTCACATTTTCACTTCATGTCTGCCTGGCTGTGACACTTCGAGTTCTCAAACAGCAGCTTGCTGGTGGCCTGCCTTTGCTGTAGATGTCTTTTCCACTGTCAGTTCCCTTAAAAAAAAAAAAAAAAAAAACCCAGCTGCTCCTCCAGCACTACTCCTGTTTGCCTCTTTGATATTGCCTGACAGCCACCTTAATGGAAGGCGCTTGCAAATCGGTAGCAAAGGGCCAGGCTTCTTCACCTGCTGAGGAGCTCCACTGGTCTGCACAGCACCTCCTGGGATGGAGACCGGTGGTTGGGGAACAGCCTTTGAAGTGGGTTTTTAAGACTCTGCAGAGAGAGAGAGAGAACCATCACGGGGTCACCCCTAGTGCATACAGCCGGGCTGCCCAGGTCTAGAGCGGTCAAGTCGAAGTACAGAGCCTTAGCTCGGGTGTCTGAACACTGCTCCTCCTCAGGCGTGGAGGGACATGTCCTGTTCTTCCGTGTTCGTGCCCTGGCCGGTAGATGAGGTTATTACTGACATCACTGCAGCGGTAGTGGCAGTCTGAGAGCAGCGGGTCGATGAATCCCGCTTATGCCTGACCGTGGCTAACGAGGGCTGAGGGGTAAGGAGGAACAAGTGGTCGTTGGTCCTGTCCCTCGTGTGTGAGGAGCACGGCCTGTGCCGAGCGTCTCTGCAGTCTATACTGCACACACCTCACCTTTTCAGCCTTTTTAAATCAAGCTTAGTTTTCACAGCATTAAAAAATGCAAAGCGATCACCAGTATATTTCCATATTTTGATTATCTTGCAGAACTGTAAATGCAGTAACCCCTCTTCTATGCACAAGAAGTGGAAACTCCTTTATTAGTAACCCCAAGGAAGGAGCCTAGGACCTGGAAC